CGGCTGGCGCCCCTGGAGGGCCCCGAGCCGCCAGGACCCCGGCTCCTGGCGCCGAGGGGACGCACAGCCCGCGGGGAGCCAGCCGAGCGCGGCGGCCAGAGCTCGGCTTCCAGGGCGATCCACCTCTCGGCTTTCAAAGATGGCATTTCCTGGGCCTGGCACGAACTCCAGCGCCAATAAATCCTCTCCGTTCCTCAGGCGATATGGAATGATTTATCAGTTACCTGCGGTGAGACAGCTGCAGTGGGGGATTGTTTGTGAGAGCGCCCAGCGCCCTGGAAATTCCCATTTTCAGTCACCTAAACTTATTGAGAAGTTGCGGTTGCCTTAAAAATTCATGGGAAGTTGAAAACTTGACACCTGGGTTTTCCGAGGTAGTGGAAAGAGCTTGTGACTTGGAAACTGGAAGCCTGCATTCAAGTTGGGCACCCCATGGCCAGCTGGTGACCTTGGGCGAGTTGTTTAACCTCTCTGATCCTCAGTTTCCGCCTCTGCAAACAGCTGGTAATAATGCCCCACCTCGCTGGGTTGCTGTGTGGATTAAGTGGGATAAATTATGTGGAGGTGTTTGGCACGGTGCCCAGCACAAAGCAAGCGAGCAGTTGGCGTGATATGAATTTAATTCGTTTAGAGACCCTCGTGGCTCCCATTTCACCAAGAAATTAGAAATAGGAAAGCATTCTCAGGGCCTAGTGGTGGAGTGACAGACCCTGTCTTTGTGCCCAGGAGAACTTCTGCTGAAGTCAAGGATTTTGGAAAAACAATTTAGCCGAATTGTAATCAGAGAGCATCTTTAAAAGCAGTTTCATACATCCAGAAACTCTAGAAGTTGCCAGTCTGGCTTCACTTACAAAAGAACTGTTTTGAGAGAACTTCTGCTGAAGTCAAGGATTTTGGAAAAACAATTTAGCCGAATTGTAATCAGAGAGCATCTTTAAAAGCAGCTTCATACATCCAGAAACTCTAGAAGTTGCCAGTCTGGCTTCACTTACAAAAGAACTGTTTTGCAGGGTGATCCGTCTTGCAGATGTTTAAGCAGATGATGCAAGAAAGTAAAACCTGGTTAGGAGGATTTTTGTTCTAAAAAGCTAACCCAACTCTAAGTGATTATATAGATCCCGGTTTCTCCACTTTGCACTATTGACATTTGGGGTAGATAATTCTTTGTTGAAGGGGCTGCCCTGTGCCTTATAGGATGTTTAGCAGCATCCCTGGTCTCTACTTAGTAGATTCCAGTAGCAATCCCTCTCCCCCAAGTTATGCCAACCAAAAATGCCTCCAGAAATTGTCAACTGTACCCTGGGGGGGCAATGGCCCCGCCCCTCTTTTAGAACCACCGATTTAGATAATCCCTGCTTTCTGTCATTAGCCTGAGTTTGAGAATTTCATCTTGTGCTTTTATGTTAATAACTAACCTTTACATAGCCAAATGGAACTGTAGAGTGTACATCCACATGTATCATCTCATTTAATTTTTACAACTCCCTCTGTGAGGCTGGTGTTACTCCCATTTTACAGATGAGGAAATGGAGATGAGCAGCCAGTTACACAGTATGCGACACAGCTGGTATGTAACCCAAGTCTTCTGCTTCTGAGGTTCTGCAGCAAGCTGCCCTTTGTTGTATGGAGACTTTCAAGTAGATGACTTTCCTGGTGATTAAATCAAGACATAAAGTATATTGGAATCTGGAAACATTTCTGAGTTTGACTAGTTGAAAATTAACAACAGTAAGCTATTATCTGACAGAGAGTAGCCTGTTCTAGTTAAATATTCTAGTTTATAGCAAGCTCCCATAAATCCCACATACAGGTAATGGAATACCAATTTGTAGAGAATTAGAGTAGAATAAAACATGCCTAATACTCTGTATTGATCCTGTGTTGTCTCTGGTGATTTGCCGTCTCCTAAAAAGACTCTTATATGCAAATTAGACATTAGTGGGGAACGTAAAAGGTCAAGTCACTGAAGGCACTTTGGAGTAGCTGAAGACATTCCATTCAGCCAGTGTTTATTGAGCTGCTTCTGTATGGCACATGCAGTGCTTGGGGGACTGCGGGGGTAGTTTCTGAGCAGGCTAGTGGACCCCCTCTAATCCAGAATGATTGGATGAATTTCTCTGCAGAAAAGGGCAGGTTCCCTTCAGGCCACACACATGGTGGGCCTTCAGGGACAGCTTACGGCAGGAGAGAGAGCCCAAGTTACCATTGAGGCAAGTTCAGGATCCCACTCTAGGTCACCACTTATGTCTCTGAGCCTTCATTTCATCTTTTATCCTACAGAAGCTACTCTGGCAGCTTTTAACGTTCTCATTCAAGACCCCGGGGCCTGGTCAGGGAGGCAAGGTCAGAGACAGCTCTCATCCCTGAAAGAAGTTGGGGTTCCAAGATGATAATTGGTCTCAGGATATTGAGACCAACTCCGTGATTGTTGACTGTGAACTGGAAGTTTCACATACGTTGTTTAATTACGTTTGTTGCCCTACCCCTCATCCCAGATGAGGAAATTGAGTAAAGGTAGAGTGAAAACAGGAGCAAGAGGGACTAATTGTGACCTTCTGAACTACTGGTCCAGGCACACAAAGGATACCATTTTCAAGGGTGGACATAACCCACCAGAGGGGCTCACCTTTGGGGCTTTGGAGGGAGTGAGAAGACATGGCACCCTACCTGCCTCCCCAAACCCTGAGGGTTTGTGGCAGCAATTTGTGGTCCCTCCGTCTTTACCCAGGAGAGCTCCTCTTGACTGTAATTCCAGGGCTCACCTTTCTTCCACCAGACAGTGAGTTCCTGGAAAGCAGGGCCCATCCCTCTTCTTTTCTTCCCAGGGTCTGTTACAGAGACTGGAATGCAGAAGGCACTCAGCACATATCCTGGACAGGCAGTGGGGGCAGGCATCAGCTCTTCTTACCAATTCTAATAGAGATGGGACATGGCCAGACCAGTGTCCACACTGCTCGTTTGTGTGTGTGTGTGCAGGCGACCTCACGCTCTGATCTTACAGGTGTCTCCTTTCCTCTGGCTGAGAAGGAGACAAAGTGAAGTACTTGGTAGGCCCCTGGCTGAAATCTGATCTGATCATGGGTTCAGAGACCAGAGATCTTACATCTACATCTACAGAGTTTTTGCTAGTGTGTGCACCTGAAGCCTCATTCTGCCTCCACCTTAACTTGTTATTCCCAGACCAGCTGTAAGCACAGAGTTAACAGCAAATTCAGACATTTATTGATTCTGCACTATGGTCAGGCCATAGGGTTAGAAGTGAAAGTTGAACCCCTGCCCTGGAAGGATGGATTCATGGTGGAGTTGGGAAGACAATGACAGTTGTGTGTGTGTGTCTCCATCCATCTATCTGTCTGATAACTGCTTTAAAAGAGGATTTAAGCCAAATGTAAGAGATACCAGGGGAGGCAGCCATTCATTCTTATGGGCATCAGGAAATACCACAGGAAGTAGGTGGCATTTGAATTAAGTCCTGAAGGTAGAAAAAGATGGCATTCAGGGCTGACAGAACGTCAGGAGCAGAGGCAGGAAGAGACCTTGTGTATTTTAGGTTTGCTGACTCTTCTGCAAGTCCAGCCTCTTGACTTTCACTCATGCAGGACCCACCTCCTCATCTTTGTACAAGTGCCAGGCCTTACCCAGCCCAGGGGTAAGTGCCAGTTCTCCTTATTTTCCCCTGGATGTGAG